CACAGAGGTACTGCAGCTCCTCCCATCTGCCTATTTCCCTCCCATCTAGGCCCTGAACAGGGGTGTCAAACTGGATTTCATTGAAGACCGCACCAGAGTTGTGTTTGACTTCAGGGGGACTTGGGGGGCCTGGCCAGCTTGACATCAATCATGTCGGGGGCACCTGTGGTGGCCAAGTGCTAAGGCAGGACTTCCTTCAGAACTTTCCTCTTAATTTAACCTTCCTTCCTTCCTTCCTTCCTTCCTTCCTTCCTTCGTCTCCCTGAGCTCCGTTTTCAGTAGCAGAGGCACAGTGGGCCAGCCCTTTCCATTTCCAGGGTGGCCCCACAGGCCAGATCTAAGCACCCCGTGGGCCAGATTCGGGCCTTGCGTTTGACACCCCTGGCATAGAACAAAGGAGCCACACCTCTCTTCCCCACCAATCACCTAAAAGCCTGGAAGTTCCAAACACCTGGGAAACTCTGTGAAATGGAGCAACCATTATTCCCACCACTCAATGAAGCCACAAATGCTTGGGAAGCCAAAACCTCTTTAAATCATAAAGCTTTTTTTTATCCCCAAACTGTTGGAAATATAAACAGATTCCAGGTACATACCACCACATGTGGCGGACCTGTAAAAAAGCAAGGCATTTTTTTTCAAAAATTTAAAGGAATTCCCTTGACACCTTCAGTTTTCAGAGAGAGCTAAATCATCCGGCTTGCATCAACAGGCAGAAGATTATAGTCACAGCAGAATAAAAGTGAGAAGGTCACAATATTTAGATGGGTTTACTATAAAACTAGAGATCTTACCTTGAAGTCTTACAATTTTTGCCCAAGTATGGAATCCCCCTATTTAGTATACCTTTGATTCAGATTACAGATAATGTTGAACTTTGGTTTGTTTAGCAATTTTTTTAAAAAAAAAATCAATTGACTTTAATCCAAAACAGGTTTTATTTTCAATGGCAACTCATGAGCATTTTCTCCAATAAGCAGGCTAATAATGAAATAATATCCACGAGATTATTCATATGAAGACAAAAATGAATTTCTTGTAGAAATAGCAATAGCAGCAATAGCACTTGGACTTGTATACCACTTTACAGCCCTCTTCAAGCGGTTTACAGAGTCAGCATATTGCCCCCAACAATTTGGGTCCTCATTTTACCCACCTCAGAAGGATGGAAGGCTGAGTCAACCTTAAGCCTGGTGACATTTGAACTGCCAAACTGCAGGCAGCCGGCAGTCAGCAGAAGTAGCCTGCAGTACTGCACTCTAACCATTGCACCACCGTGGCTCATAGAGAAATAGATTAGAAAACACTGCCACTATTTGTAAGTATAGGTAGCTTTCAATTTATGACCATAATTAAGCCCCAAAGTTTTGGTCATAAGTTATTGTGATCATTATAACAATCACATGAACTTTACTGAATTTTACAACTGCATCATGGCTTTCCCAGGTATGGGCATTAAATGACTGTGTGGGTCATTAAGTAGAATGTGAGATGCTCCAGGGGCTGGGAAAGGCGCTGGGAGGCCCAGTGCAGGTCACATGCAAATTATGGCGATGCTGCAGTGTGCTATAAGTACAGGGTGTGGGGGCAGGGAAAGAAGCTGTAGCTGCCCAGCCTGGTCCAGCAGCACAGCAAAAAGACACCACACCAGAGGCGGTATTCAGCCGGTTCTCTCCGGTTCTGTCACCTCTCCAGCCTCTCTACCATGATTTTGCCTTGAGCAAAGGCTTGTTGAGGCCTACAGGGATGAGACATTGCATCCCTATAGGCTCCGGTTGTTTTTGCAAAAGCCTTTTCTGGTGAGAGTAGAGGCCAGGATGGCCGCACGCGTCCCTCCGAGTCTCCGTTTTTGCTTGCTTGAGGAGGCCTTTGCTGGTGAAAATGGAGACCTGGAAGGATGCACACACCCCTCCTGGCCTCCATTCTCGCCAGCAAAGGGTTTTTGCAAATACAGCAAAAGGCATTGCAAATGGAGGGAAGGCTTTGGTGCTTCAGGTCTTCCCTCCATTTGCAAAGCCTTTTGCTGCGGATCTCGTCCAAGCCTCTGTTTGCAGAGAACAGAGGCCTAAAGTACCGTGAGATCAAGTGAGATCAGTAGCGTGAAATCTCATGCTACTGATCTTGTGTGATCTTGCGGCACTTTAGGCCACCATTCTCTGCAAATGCACTGGAGGCATGAAGCACCAAACAGACAAAGAAACAGATGGCTCCCTACTTTATTTTATTTTTATTTATTTTATTTTATTTGGTTTGTCAAGCATGTATGAGAAAACAAGTACAAGTATGAATACTACATATAAACATATAAGTATAAGCAGGCATAAGTATATACATAAGAAATGAGAACAAATAAATGGAAGCAGTAGGACAGGGGTAGTAGGCATACTAGTGCACTTATGCACAGCCCCTTACAGATCTCTTTGGAATGGGGTGAGCTCCATGGTAGACAGTTTAACATTAATGTTTTGGAGGTTTGAGGATGTAACAACATCTTTGCAAGGTGAGTATACACAGGCCTAGTGCCTGTAGAGACCCAGTGGTGGTGGTTGGGTGTAATAGGTAGGGTAAATGTTGCAATGCTTCTGTGGTTGTTTGTGTGAATGACTGCTACAGTGCTGCAACATTTCTGTGTCGTAAGTACTTGGAAGGGGGATTAGGTCATAATTTCATATGGTTGGTAAGTGAACTGTCATAACTCAGGAATTAACTATTGTTTATGAGATGGATACTCTTTATTTGACTCCTCTGTTAAGATCTATCGAGTGGCGACAACAGCGCGGAGACAGAAGCACGCTGTAAACCCTAAACCTAAAATTAACCCCTAAACCTAAACCTAACCCCACTAAACCTAATCCTAAACTTAACCCTAAACCAAACCTAAACCTAACCCTAAACCTAACCCTTAACCTAACCCTAAACCTAATCCTAACCCTTAACCTAACCCTAAACCTAACCCTAACCCTTAACCTAACCCTAACCCTAACCCTAACCCTAAACCTAAACCTAAACCTAACCCTTACCTTAAGTTGAATCGGCTTGCTTTCAAAGCGCTATTTAAAGCGCCCTTCTTTCTCCGTGCTGGCTGTTGTCGCCCTGTTGATGACATCAGGGACGCGGTTTAATCGGGCACGGTTTAGTCGAGCGCGGTTTTGACGGGTCACGGTAAAATTTGATTGGTTGCTGTTTCTTCAATCGGCCATAAGATGGAGCCAGAATCACTGTTAGATGCTGATCTGATCTGAGTGTTTGTAAGCTGGCTGTTAGAGGTGCCATAAAGGGATCAGCATGAGCTATTGTAAGTTTTGCAACTGCTAGCAAACTATGTGTATTGGACTGTTCGATGGATTCTCAGACCTCTGTTTCCATGAAAGTAAAAACCTATTTAAACTGCAGTGTCTCTGTATGCTGATTTGTGTGTTATCCAACACCACTCTCACAACGCTTCTCTGAACGCACTCGCTCTCCCAACGAGGAGCTTACCTAACACCACCTCTGGTCTGAACTCTTTAAAAAACTGGAACTGAACCAGGGTAAACCATTCATAAAACTTCTGCTAATTACCTTTTGCTATGTGACTAGTATTACAATAAACTAGAAAATCACTAGATAGCAATGTGGAAATAAAAAAAATCTAGATCAGATCTGATAGCCCTAGAGCAGGGGTCCTCAAAATCTTTAGTTTATCAACTCCTTCATAAAGTTTCAGATTATTTATTGCAATCCAAATATTTATTATATGAGTGAAACTATTTTTAAAAAAAACACTAACTAATAGTACTCAATAGGCAGACAAAAATGCCAAATCCAGTCTGAAACATTTGGCTGACTGTGCAACCAACAACAACAATGGTAATACTGAGTACTGGAGAGAACAAAGTGACCTACAAGACAGACTATGATGAAAAACAGAAAAGAGGCATGGGAAGACATGGCCAGTTGTACATAAAAAAAATAGCTAGAAAAGCAGATGATAGCAAGAACTGGCAAGAGCTAAGAGCAGGAAAGTTGAAAAAAAGAAACAGAGTGGCTAATTCTAGCTTCAGAAAATCGAGCCTTAAGAACGAATGCCTACACAGCCAGAATTAAGAAGACAACAACTGACGCCTTACAAAGAAGCTAAGGAAACAGTAGACCACCTGGTTAGCTGCTGCAAGGAGATTACACAATTTGACTACAAACTACTGCGTGACAAAGTAGCAACTATGGTGCATTGGAAGCTCTGCAAGAAATATCATTTGCTTGCAAGCAAGAAGTGGTGGGGGCATAAGATAGAGCAAGTCATATAAACTAGAGAAGAAGCTAAAGTGCTCTGGTGCTTTAGAATTCAAATGGACAGGTATCTGCCATATAACACACCACCACTTAACAATTATCAATAAGAAAGATAAAAATACCAAATCCAGTCTAAACATTCATACTGTGTGTCCAAGAGGTAAACTCAAGACCACTTCTCTGGTGGCTGACTATCCAACTCTGAATAATACTCTCTCACCACTAACCACTTCACTTTCACAACTAGTATGGAGCTCTATAGAGGTTCCCAAAAGATAAACTGACCCCAATCAATGACATTCCAACATTTATCACCCTTCTTTTGATTCCCAGCCATTTATTAACTACTTAGGTAGTCCCATTAACCTTTGGGGATGGCGGTATTCCAGGAGGCCGGTCCAACCATCAATCAGCTGCTCATGCTAAATCAGGCTGTGCTGAAGCTGTTTGTTGTTTGCTGCAAAGAGGCAAATAACTGGGAGGCAGAGGCCGAAGGGTGAGGGCCAGCGGGTGGGTGGTGCTTCAGCAACATTTGGTCTATAAGATGCACAGACACTTCCACCCACTTTTGGGGAGGGGGGAGAAGAAGTCCGAAAAAAATGCTAATTTAAATTCTAACATCATAGGAACATGGAGAAAAAATAACATTTACTATCGCCATTATACTGCAAATGCTGTAGTTATATAACCCTAATAAATAAATAATATTATTTCCTTTACCTCTGCAGGCTGTATACAGCTCTATCAAGAATGAAAAGCTACAGTGGGCCATGTGAGTACCCTTGCTTAATTCTATAGTAAAACTGATATTCCTTTTTAAAGAATAATTTTGTCCTTTATTTTTTTTTTATTTCTACCTGTTTATTTTTCACATAAATCTAAGATACGTCTCAGAAGGAAAATAAAAAGTGCTGCTGTCTGCTTTAACATCTTGGTCTGCTGTAGACATCTGCTCCAGTTTGTTGTAATTGTCAAGTAGATCGTTTTCAAATATGGGGGGGGGGGACATCTTTTTAGTGGATGTCTTTCTTAAAGAAAACTGAAATAATCTTGAATTGAACAATCGTGAAATATTTTTTTGAATACAGGTAGTCCTTGACTTACAACTGATCACTTAGTGACTAGCAAAGTTACAACAGACCCCCTAAAAGGTATTTACAACCCAGTCCCGTGGTGGTGTGCAGTGGTTAGAGTGCAGTACTGCAGGCTACTTCTGCTGATCACTGCAAATGTCATAAAGTTGCCATCACCCAAATTTTTATTATTTGACCTTGTGGATATTGCAACAGTTGTAATTTTTCACACTTTTTTCTGTACTGTTATAACTCCAAATGGTCATAAACAAATGTTGTAATTTGGAGGCTACCTATACCCTTGATGGCAAACCTATGGAGCCAGCTCTCCAGTCATGTGAGCCATTGGTCATTGCTCTTCCAGGTTCTGGCGTGATGTCTTCACACCTGTGAGAGCACCGGAAACCGGAAGTGCAGCCACCCGGTGTACATGCACGCGCCAAGAAGGTGATCTTCCAGTTTCCGGCATGCACATGCACACCACCCACCCAATCTTCTGGTTTCTGGTGCACATGCATGCGTGAAGACCAGCTGGCCATTGCGCATGCACGTGCTGGAAACGGGAATCTTCCGGCTGCTCTTCTGGTTTCCGGCACACATCTATGCGCTCCATTTCAGCACTCGGTGCCGAAAAGGTTCGGCAACACTGACCTATACTGTACGTAAATTAGCCCATTGAGGAATGAGTCGGAGGAAATACACTGACTGTAAACTGTTTAGAGAGGACTGTAAAAGCACTATGAAGCGGTATATAAGTCTTAAGTGCTATTGCTATAAAAAAGTCTATAAAAAGCATATCTCAGAAGCACACAGAAACTATATTCAGCTAAGGCTCACGCTCGACTACTTTTTGGTGCCCAGCTAGGACATTGTGCTTCCTTTACTCCTCTTTGAAAGTATCCACTCTAAATTCAAAAAAACACAAAAAAACCAAAGTACAGGTAGCTCCTTGCATTCCAAATACAGGGAGAGATGCGGAACTGATTACAATTTCAAAAGGTGCATGGATTTACATCTTAGCATACTGGTTGAAACTACGGGTTTTTTTTCTTCCTTCCCCATAAACTTGAGTTCTCCCTCCCCACCCCCCATGATGATAGTTATGAAACAGAATTGACAATTACAATTTAATAAAAATTCCCAGCTTAGCTTTTCTACAGAGGTGTTGTTAATCATGAGTATGCACTTCGTGCATTTAAACTATTATTAACTAAAAGTCCCATGAGGGATGCAGTGGCTCAGTAGCTAAGATGCTGAGCTTGTTGATCAGAAAGATCGGCAATTCAGTAGTTCGAATCCCTAGCACCGCATAACGGAGTGAATTCCCGTTACTTGTCCCAGCTTCTGCCAACCTAGCAG